CACAGACACAACCGGCATCCTCTTTTATCCCAACTATCCCCCCACCATCCATCAAGTAGAGCGCCAGGAGCGCCTCTAATCTAGAGATGACTTTGCCGTTCCCCTCCTCCCTCCTCCCCAACTGAGAGATGCCCCTGATAAGCAGGTGGATCTTCTACCAAACTTCTCGACACACCCAGGAACGCTTGGAACAAAACGTATTTGGAGGCCCGGCCTCTTAACTGGGCCTTTGCTCCTCCATTCCAAGAATCTGCCATCTCCTATATTCTAAATTACAAATACACAATTAGTTTTCCATTAGGTTAGAGCAAATTCTGCAAAATTGATCTGGAGCACCTACTGTTGCTATATTACATCATGCTTGAAAGGCAGAGCTCGGACATAAATACTTAATGTAATAAATACAGTCTGAAACATTTGATCCACTTGACAGTTTAATTGATCTGCGACAGACAGACTGACAGGAAAAATTAAATTAGTCCTGCCTCATTTCTGCCAAAAGCACATTTTGAATTGAGGTACTTGGGTTATAGTTTGGTTCACAAAAGATCCCATTTATACAGGGACCACTCAAGGAGGGCGGGAGCCGTTCAGGCAGGTGAGCTCTGGATTTCAAGAGGCCCCAGTTCTCCTTTCGGACAAGAGAAGCCTTTTCTGGCTCTCAAAATGGGGCGGGGGGAAATGCTCAGAGGGAGGGGGGGCTTCAGGCGGCAAGAGGGGTGCTACAGGGCTTAGAAGGGTGAGTTTTTAAAAGGGGTCTGTGCAGTGATGAGTTTGGGAGCCCAGCCCCCAGGTGGTTCAAGAGCCAGTGGGATTTCTGCGTCTCTGACTTAAAGCCACTTGGGATAAGGAGAGCTTTGAGTGGCAAAAGTCCTCCTGGGGTTACAATCTCCACCCAAGGCCCAAAGAGGCAGGGAGCAAACTGGTCCCCAAACTGGCATTTCATGGGGATGGCTGGTTAGCCAAGCGCTGCCCTCTTCCCTCAGAGTGAACCGAGCTGTTTCCGATCAGCCTCTCTCATCCTCAGGAGACGAAACCGGATTTCTTTGGAGGGAAGCTGGAGGGGCTGGAGGGTCACTCAGCCCACAACTCTGGCAAAAGGCAGGCAAGGAGGACATCGGCAAAAGGCAGTCTCCACCTCAGGCCCTAGTGGATCAGAGCCCCCCCGCCCCCCCCCTTCCGTCATGCTTGGGGAATGTGAATACTTGGCCCGCCCAAAGGCGCCAGTGATGGGATCCTAGGCCCAAACAACGACAGCCACGTCATATAAAGGAGATCCGGTTCCTTCCTGCCACATACCACAGGGTGTCTCTACTAGGCAGTCAAGAAAACCATTCCGTTCCGGTTGCTCCTCCTTGTATTTATCCATCTGGCACTAGGCACAGAAGGGCTGCCCACTCACTTTATCACAAACAGATGCCCACCGGACGCTTCCTTCCAAAATTACCCTCTGCCTTTTCTGATATTGGCCCAGTTCCATCTCCACATATTCTACCTGGAGATTTCATCTGCTCTGAAACTTTTCTGTGATGGTTCCTTCTAGTCAAGAGGAAAAACTCAGTTTCCCAAATCTGGCTTCTCACTCAAGATTGCCTCTTATTCCACCCAAGTGGGATATTTTCTGCAATGCTAA